CACATAGCAGGAAGACAGAGTCAGGATTCTTTTAGGCAAGGTTTGGAACCAGAAATACACGGGTCTAACTGCATGTGATAGGAAAAATTGAAGAAAATATATGCGATATTTGTAGGAAAGAAATGCAGGATTTGCAGCACCTGTTGTTAAATTGTCCTAAATTTAGAGAAAAAAGGAACAAATGTTTTCAGGGCATAGAGCCAAGAACACCTCCAATACTATTTCGAACAAAGATAGGAACGGAAGCTCTTCTTCAATATTTGGACACATCCAAGTGCATGGTAGCACACAAAGGATATTGAAATAAGAAACACCAATTGGAAATTAACAAGTACTTGGATAAATAATATATAAGAAAGGAGTTTGGGGAATATAAATTATGTAAATAATGTAAATAATGTAAATAATGTAAATAATGTGTCATGGCTGGATAGCTGAATACACTATAAAAAAATAAACATATAAATACTGTGAGAAAGTAAATTAATTTGCTTTGCACTAAGCGTAGTGCATCTCTCAGTTGCTAAGTCATTGTCTTGATGACTCAGCCAATACTACGAACTACAAGTTTACAAAGATCTTGGATGTAGAGAAGAGATGAAACAAGAATACATACCTTACTTTCGTACCTTTCGTTTTGCATTGAACTAACCTTACGTATACGTAAATTAAGGCCAACCGACAAAAAAATCATTATTCAAGAAAAGCTGCGCAGCACTCCAAGTTGCCTCTTTCATCAAATTGACTTCGTATATCGTATTTTCCCGTCAATTTTACCCCATTTCAGTCCCCATATTCACTGTGCCATATCATGGTGGGTCCTGGTGCCGGTTCGATGGGATCCGGCGGTCTTAACGCGTCGTAAAATGCGACAATGGCCAAACAATCCTAAGGCAGCGGAGCCTCAGCAGTTCCACCAGATAAGAATCTTACTATCCTACGGCTGTTACTAAAAAAGGTCTGGACTCTTTATTCAGATGAAGATGACGATGTCATTACCATTATTACGGAAGACATCGCGGAAGCCGTCAGGGCCTTCAACGCACACAACAAGGCTTGGAAGCAGATGCACACGATGAAATCTCCCATCGAAGAGAGGATGTTGGCTCTTGAAGAAGTAGTCAAGAAGAGTCTCGCGGAGCCCGCTCGCAACGCGGCTCCAATAATTTCTGGGCCGCCGGCCCCAAGAACATACGCGTCGATGGCAGCGCCATCAATGGGGAAAACAGCGGTTATAATACGCCTCGAGGGTGCGAAGGACATGCGGCCAGCATAGCTGCTTATAAGGACACAAAAATATATACCAGGGGCATACGAAGTGCGACAGATGCGGAGCAATGACACCGAGGTGTCTGTTGAGTCGGCGACCCAGAGAGACATGGCTCTCAATATGGCAGAATAAGAGGACTTTCAGGTCCTAGAGAAAGATTTTCAAGTGCAGGTTTATGGAGTCCCGTTGAGGACGAAAATTAAAGAAGGCAAATATGCTATTAACACAACATTGATACGGGAGATAGAATCGTCTACAGCAGTACGAATTCCAGGCCTAAAGATCAATGTAATAAGATGGATGCATGACGGAAAGGAGATCGAGCAGGTCAAGACAAACGGCCGCACAAGGGGCTCAATTGTTCTGGGTCTCCCCAAGGAGGTCTTGTAGAAACAAGTTGTTCAACATGGCATCGTCCTTAATGCCATGCTATACTCAGCGCAGGTGTGGTCCCCGGGGGCTCAGCCAAAGCGGTGTCACAACTGCAGTCAATAAAGACACACCCAGGCGTCATGTAGAAAGGCAGCTAAGTGCGGTGAGTGCGCAGGTGCTCACCAAACCCAGGACTGTCCCAGGAAAAGAGTTTCTTGCATCAACTGTGGTAAGGAACATCGTTCGTGACAGCGAGCGTTGTGTCGGACATTTCAAGTCTACAAGGGGAGTCTTCAGAAAGCCCGCCTCGAGCTTCTGGAACGAACGGCAGAAATTCGAAGGGAAAGCACCCCTACAATTGCTGCGCAAACAGCATCTGCGACCACTGTCGATCAAGGATTTACCCTGGTCACTAATCGCAAGGTTGAACCCCAGAAGAAGGGACCAGAACGTCCACGAAAGGTGATCGCAGACTCAACGGCAGTTCCAACGATTCCGTCTTCGAAAATAGGAGAGAAGGTTAGTGAAAGGAATCTTCCAAACTTCAGCTGAGTAGGGATCGGGGCGATAGAGGAGTTAACATTTGGGGTGAAACAAAATTGAATGGAACAAAAAGACAACCTCAGCATCAAGCTGGGCTGTGCCATCCCGTCGGAGCAATGGGATTTGTTGCTTGAAAGCTTTTCCCTTCTTACCATGGATTACCGTCTTTATGGATCTGTATATAGATACCGCACAGGACGTTAAACGAGACTGATTCAATTCAATTTAAAATAATAGAATAATAATAATGTAAAAAAAGTCTACCTTTGAGCGGCCATCGGCCAGCTCTCCCCGCGCACCTCAGCAACCTTCTTCCGCCGAGAGCTCAAGAAATAAGGGTACTAAACCCTTCGACAACCCAGGCTCCGGCCCAAAAGACAACTTGGGCGAGAGTAGTCCGAGCGGGTCTTGGTCACAGCACTGGGCCGTCAACAACAAAGACAACACTGCCCGCCACTAAAGCAAAGCGTGCCAACTCGAGGATAGCAGCCAACACACGACTATTTCTACGCCTCGAATTTGACCACCTCCACCGACTCTCGTCACCAGCTGGCTTACGATCCACTGTGGCGCAATTGCTTGGTACCGTAGCCGACAACATCACGTTGGTCCAGCAGATCAGAACAGGCTTTGCACTAACTGCAAAGGATAAGCTCGCTCGAAAAGAGCTTCTGGATTCCTCCGCTACACGGAAGGAATTTGGAATAAATCTGGAACCAGCATCTAAACTGGTTGCCATACAAATTGTCACCGTCCCGGTGAGAATTCAAACATTTGCAAGACCCATCGAAATTTGGGCAAAGATGGTCGCCAATGAAGTCACGCGAGTGATTAATTCGGTTCCTTTTCTTTTTCGTCCCCATGGGACCTGCAAACCCGGGGTGTTACGGCGTACCATGGCTTAGATCAAGATCGCCGTTCGCCGATGGTATGGAAATGTCAGGTGGTGAATACGAGAGAAATAGAAAGTTGACGAAGTACTAAGACTAGGAGGAAGCGGGATAATAAGTATGCTGTTATAATATTGTAAGATTGTGAAGCTGGAGAACTAATATTTTGTAGCTCCAGCTTCCTGAATTATAAATAACTATCTAACATAATTCAACTAAGACTGTAGTAATTTCTCATAATAACTCAAACTGTGACCTCAGCCATATCGATTCCAATTGGCGCATAATCTGGTCTCACCAAACAAGTGCAAGTGTTGAGGGTGAGCCGAAAAATCTGTTCCGTGAATTTTATCCTCAGACCCTCTGCTTAGACTCTAGTTCAAGAATGTCTCGCCATGACACGGGGCGCCTTACCAAAACTGGCAAGCGCTATTCCCTCAAGAATCCATGCCTCGATCTGGCTTCCGACTTGTCGACGATTCTGGAGCTGCGAAGCTTTTCCAACCTCGTCGAAGAATAGTTTAGTGCAAACGATGTCTTGGCTTTCATGCTACTCGTGGTTGCTACCGCGCTTCGGCTTGCTGGAACTGCGGATCAAAAATGCACTCGGGAGCGGAATGCAAAGATCCCACATGGTGTCGAAACCGTGTAGGACCTAACCGATCGAATTCGCGGTTCTGAAACGCTAGACCCAGCAAGTTTGGCCCGATGAAAAAAGAGCAGCTAGCAATAATTCGCAAGGTCGAGCAAGGGAAGCTCGCGAAGGTGGCACGAGCTCGGGCTGTAGCCAAAAGGGCTGAAGAGGCGATCATCGCCTCAGCGAAGTATTTCTCGATGGCCGAGGGATCAGGTTTCGGAGCACTGGATTCTGAAGAAGTTTGAGAGCACAGCAACCTCGACGATGCCTCTAACAGATATCTACTAGTCAATAGCAGGATACCGGCTGTACCAGAGGTTCCTGTTTACCCATCTCTTGCTCTCAGCGGAGATTAAGAAAATTGTCATTTTTAAGGTATGCCGGGCGAGGGAATGTGTGAGGAGCGCATCGCTTGGAACCAATATTGAGGAACCTACTATCTTTTGGAGTTGTTTTGATTTTCGTTTCGCTTCGCTTTTAATCAGCTGCACCTTTGGCGGCGATTTACGAGGTTGGAAAGAGTTAGGTTGTGGGGAAAATTACAGGGAGCCCTGACGGCTCAACCGATCCTGCACCCATAGTTGATGTAGAGTATTAGCTTAGGACTAAGTGAATTAAAAAATACACAGATGAGGGCTGACAAGGACTGAATAAAGAGCTACCATAACTTTGCAATGTTACCTGTAAATGAAATCCGAGGCATGAGTGCCCTAGTATTACATTGGGTCTTCTAGTAGGTTCTTTACCCTTAATATATTGTCGTAGCTAGACAGCTGCATACGCAATTAATACCTGAAGTAAATTAAGCCTTACATAGTATTGGCCGTAGTTTTTTTGATAATTTTTCTAGCGCACCCGGTTCCCACTGATAACCTATTCTCGTTTTTCTTTTGACAGGATGTTCCTTCGAAAAGGTGGCTGAATTCTATGGATAATACTAAGCTGAGCGGCTATCAATCATGGATATTGTATTAGAGATTCTGTTTCGTAGCGAAAGAGATAGGAGTACTGATCAGAAAGTTTTTCCGCTTGGAGAGGGTCCCATTCTCCAAGATAACCGACGAGTTAGACTGAACAATCACTTAACCAAAATGACGTAGTTCAGAGACGCGTTAAATACACGTGATACCACTGGTTTCAAGCGCGTCACTTAGTCTACATTCAAAGATGTGTGATGGTGTGCATCAGCGACGGCAATCTTCAATTTCAGTAGTCCCAGATATTAATCCAATATATGCATTAAATTTCGGTCATCAAGTTTCGTGTCTGTGCATTTCATTGGAGCAAAATGGAAAAGGCTAAGGTGGGAGACTTTAACACGCCACCAACAAACTTTGGAGATGCAACCGATCTATCTAATTTTCAATATGATTTTGACATTTCACAGGAGCAGTCTTTTCAGCCGCCTCATAACAGTGACAAAATCCCCACACAAGCGTCTTCCGCGAGTAGGCATAGAGGAAGGTCTATTAAAACACCCCTCAGCAGGACCGCTGTTATGAATAAGACCAATTTTCCATTGTCAGGAGGGGGTGAGTTCACACCTCTTCTCAGAAATGCAACTAGAAATAGCATTTTGAAAAATAGGAGAGAAATCGCGGAACAGACACCGGCGTCTATGAGGCCTGGCAGATTAAGTAATATTCCTGAAGATTTGAGTCCTATACCAACTGGTACCTCGACATATGCAGATTCTGCAAACGGAACATATTTAGCTAACACACCGATACAACTCACTGAGAATAGTAGCGCAGATTCGACCCCATTGGCTCTACAATTGCAAAGAAATGAAGGATCTAATCTGTTACAAGATAGTAAACAGCTACCTCTTCGCGAGCAATCGTCACACGTGGAAAAGATAGAAAAGGAAAATTTTGCACTTAAACTTAAAATTCATTTTCTCGAAGAAGTTCTAGATATGAATGGGTTCGAAAACAGCGAAGCGGCAATCAAAGAAAACACTGAACTTAAGGTTGACAAAATCACAATGCAAAAGGAATTAATTCGATGCCGTAAGACACTTAACTCGGCTGAGAAAGATATAGAATCTTACAGACAGCAGTTAAATGACTTACAGGAAAAGATTAATGACAAAAACTCTCATCAGGGGAGCCATAAAAAATCGAGCTCCACGCTAGGAGATATGGGAAATTTGAATGGAGGGCCCGATCAGGAAATATCTAAAAACCAAGACACTGAACAATTTCTTACCCTAATTACTGATCTCGAAGCAAGATTAAATGAAAAAGTCTCTGTTCTCGACGATAGAGAAACACAAATCATAAATTTAAAAGAAAAGCTTGAAAAGCAAGACTTTGAATTACACAAGTCTAGGATTGCGGCTGAGAACGCTCAGCGTCGAGTAGTCGAGTTAGAGGAAAAGCTAACATCAAATAAAGATATTGAAATTTTAAAAGAGAATAATAAAATTCTTAAGCAGAACCTAAAAGAATCAGAAAATGAAGTCGAGAACCTAAAACAAGAACGACATGAAATTTTACGGGAAAAATGTCGAGCTGAGACAGATTTAGAACACATTCAGGATGAAATAGCTAACAAATCGATGAACACCAAGGGTTTAAGCAAGAAAATGGAGCAGAAAATAGAAAATCTTCAAAACGAGCTTGAGAATCTTCGTGAAGAACGATCTGCCCATGAAGCGAATATTGCCCAAAAGACTCGCGAAAGCCAGGAACTTAAAAACAAACTTGAGGATCATTACGGAGAAAGCATCAATCGAGAGCAGAGTCTAAAGGACACTGTAAATGTACTTACTAAGGAGAAGACTCTAGTTGCTCAAGAACGGGACGCTTTAATAGTTCAGTATAAATCATGTCAGAAGGATCTCCAGCTGTTGATTGAAGAGAAGAAATCACTACAAAAAGGACATGAAATCCTTACTAATGAATCATATTGCTTACAACGGGATCTTGATAGATCTCGAATTAATGCTAAAGAGTGTGAAGAAAATCTCAAAAAACTTGAAATTAAGGCACAAAATGATCTAAAAGATTTAAAAGTGAAAAATAATGCTGAAATAGAGCGACTGAGTGAGGAACTCGATAATTTTAGAGTTAAACTTCAACAAAGAGAGAATTTGCATGATGCGGACCATGAAAAATGGGAAATTGAAAAGTGTAATTCTCTTTCTCAAATAGAGAATTTACAAGAAAAGGCCAGTCATCTGCAGAAGACAATAGAAGAATTACAGGGAACCGAAGGAACACTGTCCAGTAAAGAGTCTCAACTTCGCCAAGCTCTAAAGTCGGAAATGGACCGAAATCGTGAACAGGAAACCGCATTAAACAAAAAGTTTAACGAGCTAGGCGCAGATATCCAAGCAAGACAACAAGCTAATGTTGATCTGAGATCCGAACTTACTAAATATAAGGAAGAGCTTCGATCATGTCAAAGTGAGAAAAATTCACTTGCTGAAAAGATTGAGCTATTGGAAGATGAAGTTGAAGTTCTACAGACAAATCTTGATGAAGAGACAGAAGAATTTAACAGGGAAAAAAAATCTGCTAAGCTAGAGTCAGATAAGCTCCGTCAACAAATACAACTAATAAAAGCGGACCTCGCAAACGCTGAGTCGGCAGCGCTCGACGCCAGGACAGAGATGGATATGTATCGGGAAAGCATGAGGGCAAGTGACAGCAGCAAAGAACAATTACAGTCTCGTTTGAGAGAACTCGAAGAACAGCTGACCCGTGCTCAACAAGAGAAAAACTCAATTCAGGATGAGCTGAGTAAAGTCAGATCGGAGCTATTCACAGTTAAAGGAAGTGTTGTGGACCTCGAGAACCAAAATAGAGATTTAAGTAAACAGGTAACTGCTCTAAGAAGACAAGGAACAAGTCCAACGCTCGACCAGGAAAGTAAAAAGGTTAGTAGTAAGATGCAAAATCCCCGAGGAGATAATCAACTTACCATCGTCAAGCTTCAAGCAGCGTTAGAGCTGGAGATAAAGAATGCAGCTACAGAAAAATCACGTTTGGAAAATGAAATTCGTTGTCTGCAGAATATTGTCAAAAACTCATGTTATCAGACCAAGCTTTTAGCCGCTGATGACCAAACTCGGACAATGGATGAACGAACTCGGTTAGAAAATGAATCTATCTTAAGTGAACTTAACGATAAAGCCCAAGACGATATATCAATTTTAAGAATGGATCTCAAGGCGGCTCGCGAAAAAGAAGCTAGGTGTGCTCAGCGTGAAGCTACCCAGAAAACCCAAATTAGAAGCCTTAAGAAGGAAATCATGGAGCTTGAGGGAAGGGTTCATGATGCCGAGATGTTGCGTTTTGTATCGTCTTCTCCCAATGCGCATAATAGTGACTTGGAGCAGGTGGATGAACTTGGTGTGATCCGGGCCCAACTAGCTACCGCAAATCAGGCTCTCAGGGAAACTCGTACTCAATTGAAGAATATTGAGAAAGAGGCTCGTCGAAAACTTACATCAGCTAACATTAACTATCAAGCTCGAATTCAAGCTATAGAGTCCGAAAAGGATGAAGTTGAAAGTTCACTCAATCGGATACAATTTGCTAAAGACGAGATTGAGGTTAAGTATACAGCTTCTGAGGCTACAATAGCTCGGCTGCGAAGCAAAGTTGAGCGCCTCGAACAGGCACTTGACGCTGAGCGACAAAATTCAGGAGAAGATAGAACTATCGTATTGGAGCGGAAGGATTTACACGAGATGCTCCGCGAGTCTCAGGCACAAGTGGAAGCGCTCGATATTCGAGCGCGTAAGCAAGTTAACGCCCTAGCAGCTCTAACCACATCTCAAAAGGAACTTAAAAGCCAACTTAAACAGGCCTACGAAGAGCGAATGCAGTGGCATAAACAAGCAACAGCCTATCAAGAGCAATTAGAAGAGGTGCAGCGAAGATTCCAGGAAGCCCAGAAGACATGGGTGATAGAGCGTAAGAATCTCAATCGTGTTGTACGCTTTGCCAATGTTTCTCCGACGCTATCAAGTGATTCATCACTACTGGCCCTCACATCGAAGTATGAAGCACGCGAACATCATCATGTCAAGGAAATGCGTGGAATCAGTCTTCAGCTGGAATGGGCTAATGCCAAATGTCGTCGCGAAGAATTCTTCCGCGCCGAAGCTGCTTTCGCAAAGCGATTCATGGCTATGCAGATTGCACTTTTCGAAGCCTGGTAAGTCTTGACTTCTAGGCCAACGGCTGTCACTAATTCGATACCGCAGTAATAAGGCTGATATTCAGCTCCTCGAAAGCTTTGGTATCCAGCGACCACCGCCTCGGCCAAAGAAACCTGTTACGATCAAGCGGATGGGCAGCGTGATACGTGCTATTATCCGAATGAAGAAAAGCGCCGAACTATGGGCGACTAAACGAAAAATCGATGACAAGATAAAAGGTCAGGCAGAAAAACAGCATCACTTACGACAGCAAGGGACAGCTTTAAGACCTCACAAGGTTTTAGCGGGAAACGGGAAAAAACTGATAGGTTCGTAGGAGTAATTGAATTAAACACAGGTGTTTGACATTAAATATGGAGAGGAAGAGGAGCTCACAGCGTTCAATTCTTACTCGTTGGTATATAGTTAATCATACATGATATTATTTATTGAATTCACTGCTCGTTCGTCACGATAATTATATTAAATTTGTTCATCAAAATCATTAATATTTAACGCCCTACACGGTATTCATCTCGTCGTGAATTTAATACGCCAGCTCTTATTATCAAACCAAACAGTCTTAATCGCATGGTAAACCTCGATTTCTATAGCTTCCGATTTGATGACAATCTTGTAAGATTTGCCGAAATTCTTATGATGCTACAGAACGGTCGTAAAATGAAATATTGCGTTTTATTACATTACGAACAAAAGATTCGTATCTTTTAAAGTTAGTGATTAGAAGCTAATTAGAAACAAGTCTAAATGAAAGTTTGTAGGGATAGCATTTCATCTTACCTAGAGGATGAGAGCAGCTGAGCTGGGGCTTCTGAGAATATTTTGTAACTAATTCATCACGGATACTATTCAACAACTGTACATAGCTCTGTTGAGGATTTTTTCTCATGGCAGTTATAAATGCCCAAGACATCGCTCCTGTCGCCTGAGCAGCAATAGTAGCATCGGCACTATCAAGAAATTAGCTTAGAGTCAGTCTTGTAAGTACGTTCTCCAAGCCAGAATTGACAGCAATATTAGATTCAAATATTGAATCGGATATTTGACAAACAGTTAGAGAACCAACATGAAGAGGCATTTGCAAACGCATCTTCTAGGAATACAAGAATTCCTCTCATATTAGCTTCCCACGCCTCAAGCAAGAGACAGAGTTGTCATAGAAGCGATGGAACGTAAAAGATTGATCTAACTTACGATGTTTGGTCGTCTTTGCTTCCAGACCACATTATTACGTCTGCTGGTGACGTTTTCGTCGCCATTGTTTTTGCGTACGCATTTTCACCGGTCGTAGCTCTCTTAAATAAGCCTATTAGGTTGCTTGCAACACCACCTAGATCGCCTTGACTGTAGGCGGAGATTGCACTCAAGATACCTAATCCAGCTTCTTTAGCAAGGTTGGGTTCTTTGAGAACACCTTGCGTGGAGTAAATATAAGGCAGATCAAGGGCTGTTCCTGAATGACAAGAGTCAAATATTGCCGTCAGGCGCACCCCAGGTAGTAGAGATGCGACCATGATTCGATGCATCTCATCATCCACTATATGTCCGACTCTTCGAAAGTCTACTGGATATATTACTTCATCATAACCATCTTCCTCGTCACCATCAAGATCTTTTGTTTGACCGCCATGGCCTAGTTTCACGTTAGTAAGTTCCTTTACCCTTGCCAAGTTTAGTAGCAAGCCTACCGCTGAAATGGAAGAAGAGCGAATCATTTGGCTGAGCATCCTTGACTAACCAATGCATTGCACGCAGTATGTTGTGCTTGGTCGGCTGGCTTACAGGATTTTGTTGATCGTCAGTAAGAATCACCATATCATCACGCTGATATCCATAATTCTCAGTTAAGAATTCGGACATATTCTTTACATCATTGATACACCCTCGCAGCTGTCCTTTTTGGCCAAAATAGTTTATACCTATCAACAATGCTTTCCGTCTGCCGCTGCAGTTGGAATACTTGTAAGCATAGTTTTCTGGGGCACCGTGACCAAAGTTTTGAGGATTTGAGGGCGGAGGCGGAGGGCTAGATTGGTATCCATCGACGTAAGGATTAGGTGGGATTCCTCCTATTACACACGATCAATATCTTTAGATCTGATAGTTCACAAATATGATTCATATATACCAGAGTTTCCAAAGTGTTGTTGCGCCGGCGGATATCCCCCATAAGGGCCATAGTGCTAATTAATCTCGTCAATATTATTTCATCAGACGCTGGAGGACGGAGACAATCTAACAAATGCATATGGATATTGTCGGCTATTGTAGTCGGCGTGTATTGGCTGTTGTTGAGGATCGGAATATCTATCGCTCAATTAGATGTTACTAATAAAGGTTGATTTGATCTTACGAATAATAGCTGGGATCGCCGTGGTAGTTAAGAAATGGAGGCGATCCGTTGTATGTAGCACCTGGATATCCCGACATTGTTGGGGGAAACTTTCGAAGTGAGCGTGAAGGACTCCAACTTTACTGCAGAATAGATGATATTTGGTATAAAATGGACGCTACGTATAGATATAAAAAGAGGTTTATGGGTCATGAGCGGGGGCATTGGGCTGAGGGATGAGCTAAGCGGGTCAGGTTGCAACTGTATGAATCGAGTACAAAAGAAACTGACGGATCCGAAGGAATATTAGTTGGCAGGTTCAAGCGCGTACCCATGCCCCATTGTTGAGGAATGTAGAGGTTTGTTATCAAGTGTTAAGGTAGATAACGGGATCGGGGAAAAGAAAAATACACGACTTTAGATAGGTTTGAATATTGTGGCCTAGCAACGTAGGTAAATGCGGTAGACGATATCTCAAAAGTTATCCTTGTTTAAAAGCCGAATGCAAGTATAATTTCGAGTTTCGCTTGATTATCACTCCTTTCATCTCATGCCTTCCCTAAATCTTGTTGCAATAAAGGCCCGGACGTATCGTGGCCGGAACGAATTTATGACCGCCTAGCAGTGCGGGTCGCCTCTGCTGGCTCGAAACACCCATTACGTATGAGATGGGACTCTTCTCATTCTCTGTGGATCAGACGTCAGTAGCCTCTGGAACCCTCACTTGAGTCACTGGCACAACCATGGAAAAAATGGACCGGGCTATAGCAAGGGAAAATCGACGCCATTGGCCGTAGAGACTAGACAGAAGAATTTCAGAGATGGAATTCTTCGGAAAATAAAAACATACTAGATCTCACGGTGTATTCGGATGGATCTATGAATGAAGATGAAAACGCCAGAGCAGGTTAATATATCTACCGCAGATCAAATACTGAAATTGTAGATGGAAAAATCCCCTCTGGACTTACTACCAAAGAATACGATCCGGAGGTAATTGAAGCTACAGAAGGTCTGAAAGCGTCCATTGCGCATGTTATGACAGAATAAACATCCAAAGTTACTATTTGTCTTGATAATGAAAATGCCGCCCTACGTCTACACACTGGGCAGTGAACATCGTCCAGCTCCAGGAAAATCGGCGTGTTTGAGGCACTACGAAAATTTTGGTCCATGATGACGCGTGCCAGGGATAAGACCCAGAATAGTTAGATAGATAGTTCTCGGAACATCCGGGAATACAAAGAAATGAAGGAGCCGACGCTTCAGTAAAGAACGCCTGCAGCGAAGCTAGCATCCGTGATGAAGCTTCGGTCGCAAGGGTGACGAGACCTCTCAAGGAACGATAAGAAGCAAGCATACGGGTGTACTAGCAAAACAATGCTCTTGAGCGCAATAGATTTTTCGGAATACAGATGATAGGAAGAATGCTAAAAGAGCTTAAATCTTTCCCGAAGAAATCTTGGCTGACTACCAGCGGCGCGGTCAGCACATAGCAACTTCGTCGCTTATCACAGTAGATTTAAGCACAATAATGTGGGCCTATTTTGCAACTGTGGAGAGGAAAAATCGCTGGAACATTCTTTCAAGTGCCAGAGATTGCGTGGTGTACGAAAACCGCGTCCTAGAACATTATGAGGTCTGGAGGGCAGTATAAGTAGAGTTTTGGGTCAACAGCAGGATCAAGAGCATTAGAAAAATGGTGCGATAGCATGCAACCATATATTTGAGGCAGGAGTAACTAACTTCTGGTTTGGCCTTGTAGGATTGCGAAATATTTAGAGTATTTAGCGTTTGGGACAATTTTTTGATGGGAAAAAAAAATTGGGACATTTCGTGTGATATAGCAATTTTTGAAGAATTGGCTGTGGCTGCAGAGGATTTTGGCTCACCACCTAGCTACTGGTGCAGATAGTATAGTTATTCTAGAAGATGATAGAAAGGTCTAGCGGCCTTCGGCCGCGCAGGTAAGCCAAGCGCTCTCCTGACGGCTGAGGCCGGGTCCTGCTCTTGAGCTTACTCGGCGTTAAATGAAAACTCACTCACTTACTCTTGCTGCAGTAACGGGGAAATCCTCATCCTGCCTCCGAACAACGCGGGTATTCAATGAAGTTGCATGGAAGGCGAAAGTACAAGTCAGATGAGTGTGAGGACACTCAAAGATAAGTAGAAATGAAGAAGCCGATGCTACAGCACGCACAGCACTCTCGACACTTCCAGCCCGGATACATGACGCAGGCATACTCGCGTCGATTGATGCACCAGCGTCGATAACAGCTGATTGATGTCTGGTGGTCGACATTATGACCAGCCCGCTACCGCGATCTGGAGCTACAAATGCACCGTCGTAAACCACCTGAATTAAGACTTTCTCGACGCCTACCCCATGAGCTTATAACTGCTCGAATCGGGCACGGAAATTTTGCGGCATACCACCGTCAATCTCATCATGGGGACGCCACATTAGAATGTGTTTGTTGGTTCAAAACCACGCCAACCCACTTTGTTCGTCGCCGAAGGCATACCTGCCAGATTCGCAATCTTAGAAATTTTCGTGCCAGTAGAATTCTTTACGAGTCAACTTCTTGGTCACAACTGTGTCGTTAAGTTCACGGATTTGCAAGGATAAACGGCTGCTTCGGGAGCCTCCCTGCACACATGTCATCAGCTAGATGCGAGGATCGTAGTTATTAGAACGCCAGTAAGTAAGTGGTGGTGGAGGGACTTCAGTGTGTGGAGCACTGGGTTGGTTCCTATCATGTTATTGATTTATGTTTTTTGTAATTAAATCCTATTGTAATATTAGGTGAGGGGTATAAATAGTGTCATCGAGCAGAGCATGCCTTGAGGCGTGGTTCCTACTGAGCCCACTGGTCTCGTGCCACAGGGCGATGGGCTAGAGCCTGGGACTTGATAAAATTATCATCATCATTGTGTTGCATTAAGTAAAATTGCAGGGTTTATTACTGACAGCTGACTCATAAAAAATTCACTTGTCAAGTGTGATGTGGACCGGGAGAAATCGGAATGTAACTTTTGCGCTACTATCTCGATGGATACCGCCGCCACTTTTTAGGATAGTTCAAAAGTTTCTACCATGACATGTAATGATTTCTCAGCAATATAGAACAACAGTGATTTTTGAGGAAGGGATGCTGATTATATTAATCTCCAAATGAGGTTGGCAATCTCACGATAGGAATTTTTTCATCAAGATTTAGGACTCCGTTAATCGGAGCTTGATTGATATTTTGTTTTCCTTTATCCGATGATTTAAGTAAATGGTATACACTGGGCGTGAAAAACGCAAAGGATGTGCAGGGAGTTTGAATATGTAGTATCTCGTGATTTCAGAGTCACTCTTGGCTTCTCAATACGTGCGGTAGTTAGGTGTCCTCTAGGAACATGATATGAAGTTAACTAGTAGTTTAATCAAGATATGATGGGTTTCTCGTTGTTAGAAGGGGGACTATTCTCAACACCTGTCAGTGGTGTCCCCTGCGAATCTCCAGCTCTCACTGCAGGGTCTGCAGAGCCGAGATGAAGTAACACTTTCGTCCTAACTTGGATGGGGATTTCCGATTGCTCTTACGGTCTGTATCGTCTTCATACCTAAGCACATCCCCCTATGACCATTATCACGAAGCTAACTACGATCAGATCAGATGGTAGGGTCGAAGCTCTTCCCGTCACCAACACTTGATCATGGAGGAAAGGCTATCCGATGAGTTTCCGGAGCGTTCCCAGCACCCGATACGGAGATGATGGATTGGATCAAGTCGGCCTCGACTGTTACAAAGAAGGGAGATATAGATGAATATGCGCACCTTGTCACGGTTCGAGTGTCTAGGCCTCGCTTAGCTGGGGCAGCAGATTTTTTGAGACTTTTTCCCGCGCACGCAGTTTCCATTGCTACCTTTTTTTCTCTTTTTTTTTTTTTTTTTTTTTTTTTTTTGGACAGAAGGTTCCGTGGAAAAAATGGCCGAACTCCACGGGTAAACACTGAGCTGAATGGCTATTCATCACGACTAATATATTAATGATTTTACAAGTAACAAAAGAGGCAAGGAGCACTGTACAACGTGTGGCCTGGGACAGAAGGAAGCCCATTGTGATGGATAGTCTATGACTCAAGTAGTACAACGAAACATCATACACAAACGTGTTGTCATCGTTGGGCCCAACGATGTGGCAGAATAAGTTTAAATTTGGGTCAAATAGTTAACCCCTTAACAACGGCAAGTTAGTAATCAATGACTGATATTTAGTACTAATTTTTTCGCACACAAATTCAAGACACCATTTCCTGGCAAGATAGACGAGCTTTGGTCAAGGCTTCTAACAACTAGATGATGTGATGTTTTTATTGTACTACTTGAGTTATAGACTATCCATCACAATGGGCTTCTTTCTGTCCCAGGCCACACGTTGTACAGTGCTCCTTGCCTCTTTTGTTACTTGTAAAATCATTAATATATTAGTCGTGATGAATAGCCATTCAGCTTAGTGTTTACCCGTGGAGTTCGGCCATTTTTTCCACGGAACCTTCTGTCCAAAAAAAAAAAAAAAAAAAAAAAAAGAGAAAAAAAGGTAGCAATGGAAACTGCGTGCGCGGGAAAAAGTCTCAAAAAATCTGCTGCCCCAGCTAAGCGAGGCCTAGACACTCGAACCGTGACAAGGTGCGCATATTCATCTATATCTCCCTTCTTTGTAACAGTCGAGGCCGACTTGATCCAATCCATCATCTCCGTATCGGGTGCTGGGAACGCTCCGGAAACTCATCGGATAGCCTTTCCTCCATGATCAAGTGTTGGTGACGGGAAGAGCTTCGACCCTACCATCTGATCTGATCGTAGTTAGCTTCGTGATAATGGTCATAGGGGGATGTGCTTAGGTATGAAGACGATACAGACCGTAAGAGCAATCGGAAATCCCCATCCAAGTTAGGACGAAAGTGTTACTTCATCTCGGCTCTGCAGACCCTGCAGTGAGAGCTGGAGATTCGCAGGGGACACCACTGACAGGTGTTGAGAATAGTCCCCCTTCGATATAACGATAAAAGGGCGACGGCGTCATCCGTATATCGAATATTGTTGAT